ACGTTGAGTGAAAAACCAATCCATTTTATTGAAGCTGAGTAAAAAAGCCAGTAGAAAGAAATGCTTGTAAAAATAGGAAAATTTCAAAATGTAAAAGATCAGTAAAATGCAGTAATTCAAAGCAAAAGATATAAAATCCAAGGCAGTATTTATCCAGACAGGAATCAACAGGTTGCAAAGATAATCCAGAAGATGCTAGACCACAGCAAAATGCTAAAAATCCCTATAAGAACAAGACCCCTTGAACAGGATTTCTAAGGCACATGAACATGATTTCCAAACAATGCCTGATCTAACAAGCTTTCCCTTGAAGCAAACCTTATATCCCAAAGCCCCAAAATAGGTTTTGTTTTCCCCCATTCTTGCCTCTTATCTGACAAAGCCTTTTGGAACGACGTAAACATTGAGTTTGTTGTCGATCCTGGCTGAATTCTAGCCGCCAATTCTTCAACTCCCTTTCTGGCTGTTCATTAAAATTTCCAGGTGTCAGATTGTTTTCCAAACCCAAATCTTGAAAGCTCACAGAGAGAGAGAGTAAACCATCATCCCTAGGCTCAGCAGGAATATTCTCATGAGAAACTGCCCTTTGCACTGGGGCCTCTCTGTCATTGTCTGCATGAAAATCATTGACCATCCCATCTCCATCTTGTACCTCAGCCTCAGTACCATCATTTCCCTCATCATTTTTATTTATCGTGTCAGGAGCAAACCAAAACAGTTGTATTCCCTCATCATGTCCCACATCACGAGCATCATGATCCTGAGCATCATGAAACACAAACACAGGCTGATTCCCAACAACAGCATTATACATTTTGTATGATGATTGTAGAATCATAGAATCAAAGAGCTGGAAGAGACCTCATGGGCCTTCATCTAGTCCAACCCCCTGCCAGGAAGCAGGAATATTGCATTCAAAGCACCCCTGACAGATGGCCATCCAGCCTCTGTTTCAAAGCTTCCAAAGAAGGAGCCTCCACCACACTCCAGGGCAGAGAGTTCCACTGCTGAACGGTTCTCGCAGTCAGGAAGTTCTTCCTAATGTTCAGATGGAATCTCCTCTCTTGTAGTTTGAAGCCATTGTTCCATTGCATCCTAGTCTCCAGGGCAGCAGAAAACAAACTTGGTTCCTCCTCCCTATGATTTACCTCTCAGATATTTATCCATAGCCCTTATCATGTCTCCTCTCATCCTTCTCTTCTTCAGGCTAAACATTCCCAGCTCCTTAAGCCGCTCCTCGTAGGGCTTGTTCTCCAGACCCTTGATCATTTGAGTCTCCCTCCTCTGGACACATTCCAGCTTGTCAATATCTCTCTTGAGTTGTGGTGCCCAGAATTGGACACAATATTCTAGGCGGAATAGAGCATGGGGAGCAGGACTTCCCTAAATCTAGACACATTGCTCCTATTGATGCAGGCCAAAATCCCATTGGCTTTTTTTGCCGCCGCATCACATTCCTGGCTCATGTTTAACTTGTTGTCCACGAGGACTCCAAGATCTTTTCCACACGTACTGCTCTCGAGCCAGGCATCATCGTCCCCCATTCTGTCTCTTTGCATTTCGTTTTTTCTGCCTAAGATCTCTGCTTTCAACTGTGGAAACCTATTGGGTAGACTTGGGCAGGTCACAGACCCCCCAGACCCAGAAAGCCTTGGGTCACCATAGGTCAGAAATGACTTGAAGGCACACAACAACAACAACAATCTCCGGTTTAAAGGATTTGAGATTCCAGGGTGGCGAAGTGCTGTCTTTCCCAACTGGGGATGGTGTTGACTCACCGTCGTCTTCTGTGCCCATATGGCTTGTTTATATGATGGATGCTTTATTTTGGGAAACCACTCTGATGAATAACTAAGTACAACGTACCCATTTTGCACCTGTCAAAGTAGGCTTCTGTGCTCGCGTGGGTTCTGAGATTTGGGCGCTTCGTGTTGGGAAACGACTGCGACAAATCGCCTGAACCAAGTGTACCTATTTGCAGCTGACAAATGTTGGAGGTCAGGGCCACATCTGAAGTTTCTGTCCAATGAGGCGCCCCTCTCCTGCCCCTTCCTCGGTCAGCCAAGTTCTCCGTTCCTGTGGGCGGTTTCTTTGAGGTCGTAGGGTTGGTTGACTCACTCCTTTCTGCCCATCGAACTGCCAGTCTAATTACAGGGGCGTTTGCGGCTGGGCTTGAGCTCCGCTTCCCTCTTTTCCTGCCGCTGAGTCGATTGCTGAAGTGGAATGACACAGCCGTGCTGGCCTTTTGAAAAAAAAATAGGGCAGGCCCTCGATTTCTGAATTTCGGCTTTCTGAATCTTACTTACTTAGGCGATCCCTCATAGTCCCAGGATGATGGTCCTCCAAGTGTAGTGTCCTGGCGGTGGGTCCGTAGGTGACTGTGGAGCCCTCTTCTTGACCCACATGTTCTCCTGCAGTGAGGGCGTCGGTTTCCAGGTGGAAGGTGGTCCCGGTCAGGGTTGGCTTGACGCGTTTTCCTCTGGCACATTTCTCCCTTTCACACTCAATTCGTGCCTCTTCAAATTCTACAGCACTGCTGGTCACAGCTGACCTCCTGCTAGAGCGCTCAAGGGCCAGGGCTTCCCACTTCTTGGTGTCTATTCCACAGTTTTTAAGGTTGGCTTTGAGCCCATCTTTAAATTTCCCTCTTTCACCCTCCATTCGTGCCTCTTCAAATTCTACAGCACTGCTGGTCACAGCTGACCTCCAGCTAGAGCCCTCAAGGGCCAGGGCTTCCCAGTTCTCAGTGTCTATGCCAGAGTTTTTAAGGTTGGCTTGACGCGCCTTCCTCTTGGCACGATTCTCTCTTTCGCACTCCATTCGTGCCTCTTCAAATTCTACAGCACTGCTGGTCACAGCTGACCTCCAGCTGGAGCGCTCAAGGGCCAGGGCTGCCCAGTTCTCAGTGTCTATGCCAGAGTTTTTAAGGTTGGCTTTGAGCCCATCTTTAAATCTCTCTTCTCTCCCTCCATTCGTGCCTCTTCAAATTCGACAGCACTGCTGGTCACAGCTGACCTCCAGCTAGAGCACTCAAGGGCCAGGGCTTCCCAGTTCTCAGTGTCTATGCCAGAGTTGTTAAGGTTGGCTTGACGCGCCTTCCTCTTGGCACGATTCTCTCTTTCTCCCTCCATTCGTGCCTCTTCAAATTCTACAGCACTGCTGGTCACAGCTGACCTCCAGCTGGAGCGCTCAAGGGCCAGGGCTTCCCAGTTCTCAGTGTCTATGCCAGAGTTTTTAAGGTTGGCTTTGAGCCCATCTTTCAAATCTCTTTTCCTGTCCTCCATTCGTGCCTCTTCAAATTCTACAGCACTGCTGGTCACAGCTGACCTCCAGCTAGAGCACTCAAGGGCCAGGCTTCCCAGTTCTCAGTGTCTATGCCAGAGTTTTTAAGGTTGGCTTGACGCGCCTTCCTCTTGGCACGATTCTCTCTTTCGTCCTCCATTCGTGCCTCTTCAAATTCTACAGCACTGCTGGTCACAGCTGACCTCCAGCTAGAGCGCTCAAGGGCCAGGGCTTCCCAGTTCTCAGTGTCCATGCCAGAGTTTTTAAGGTTGGCTTTGAGCTCATCTTCCAATCTCTTTTCCTGTCCTCCAATATTCCGTTTTCGAGTTCGGAATAGAGCAACTACTTTGGGAGATGGTGGTCGGGCATCCAGACAGCGTGGCCGGTCCAGCAGAGTTGATGGCGGAGGACCATCGCTTCAATGCTGGTGGTCTTTGCTTCTTTCTGCATCTGATGCAGTCCAGAATAGCTGGCCAGGAGATTTGTGCGTGGATTTTGTTTCTTCTGGGTTGTTGTAGGTTTTCTAAGTTGTATGGCCATGTTCTAGAAGCATTCTCTCCTGACGTTTCGCCTGACCTCACAACCTCTGAGGATGCCTACTATAGATGCAGTGGGATTGGACTTGCATCACATGTGACACGCAGAATCCCCATGACCAATGAAAAATACTGGAAAGGTTTGGGGGAATTGACCTTGATTTATAGGAGTTGTAGTTCACCTACATCCCGAGAGCACTGTGGACTCAAACAATGATACTTGGCACTTGGCACATATACTCCATATATGTGTATATGTGCCAAACTTGGCACATATACTCCATATGCCCAAATGTGAACACTGGTCGAGTTTGGAGAAAACAGGCCTTGACATTTGGGAGTTGTAGTTGCTGGGATTTATAGTTCACCTCCAATCAAAGAGCATTGTGAACCCCACCAACAATGGAATTGAACAAAAACTTGGCACCAGAACTCCCATGACGAACAGGAAATACTGGAAGTGTTTGGTGGACATTGACCTTGAGTTTGGGAATTGTAGTTCACCTACATCCAGAGAGTACTGTGGACTCAAACAATGATGGATCTGGACCAAACTTGGCACAAATATTACATATGCCCGAATATGAACACTGGTGGAGTTTGGGAAAAATAGAATCTTGACATTTGGGAGTTGTAGTTGGAGTTCACCTACACCCAGAGAGCACTGTAGACTCAAACAATGATGGATCTGGACCAAACTTGGCACAAATGCTCAATATGCCCAAATGTGAACACTGGTGGAGTTTTGGGAAACAGGACTTGACATTTGGGAGTTGTAGTTACTGGGATTTATAGTTCACATACAATCAGAAATGATAGAATGGGGCCAAACCTCCAGCACAGAACGCCCATGAAAACAGAAAATGCTTTGTTTCTGGTCTTTGGTGACCCCTCTGACACCCCCTCACAACCCACCCAAGAGTCCCGACCCCCAGGTTGTGAAACACTGTTCTATGCATTGTAAAGGACAGGTAGGCACTGCAGGTAAGAAGCATATGAGCCCAAGACTCACCTCAACCTTTGCCATATTGATCTTCTCCATGGAAAACTGTTTCCAGATAGTCTTGACTCCCAGTTCTGTCTGAACCAAGTTATGAACAGACTCGCTCCCCATGTGAAGGTTGCTTGCCTGGGCCAAGGAACTGGGAAATATTCATAGCCTGCTCTGTGCTCTCGTTTCAGGGGGATCTTCCTCGACACCATCCTTCCCAAATACAATGTGAACGGAGTGCAGCCTTCCATTGGCCAGCGAAACCAACTCAGCAAGGGAGACATCGCTCAAGCACGCAAGCTCTATAAATGCCCTGGTAAGTAGTGTTGCTTCCTGTTCGGCCTCCACAGATATAGTTTGGGGTGCTATTGCTCTTTTCGGAAATGTACCAAGCGGGCTGCAATGTGTAGTTATGCCACACATACTTACTTACTTACTTAGGCGATCCCTCGTAGCCTGAGAATGGTGGTCCTCCAAGTGTAGTGTCCTGGTGGTGGGTCCATAGGTGGCTGTGGAGCCCTATTCTTGATCCGCATCTTCTCCCGCAGTGAGGGCATCGATTTCCAGGTGGAAGACGGTCCTGGTCAGGGTTGGCTTGGTGCACCTTCCTCTTGGCACATTTCACCCTCTATTCGTGCCTCTTCAAATTCTACAGCACTGCTGGTCGCAGCTGACATCCAGTTGGAGCGCTCACGGGCCAGGGCTTCCCAGTTCTCAGTGTCTATGCCAGAGTTTTTAAGGTTGGCTTTGAGTCCATCTTTCAATCTCTTTTCCTGCCCACCAACATTCTGTTTTCCATTCTTGAGTTCGGAGTAGAGCAACTGCTTTGGGAAAGGGTGGTTGGGCATCTGGACAACGTGGACTTCAGTCCAGTTATTGCAACTCAGAGTAAGCTTCATCTTGCTTCCAAACACCACCACACAGGAGCTGTAGTTTTATAGTTTATTGAGGGAAAAATCCAAGTCAAAATAAAGAATAAGCATTGCAAAGTTCCAAAGATTAAGGTTAAAAGCAGAATATAGTTCCAAAGATCTTCAGGTAAAAGCAAGAGACACAATCCTATTGGCAAAGTTCAAACCAGAGTCCCAGGTACAAGCAATGAAACAATTGCCCCATGAATCACAATGCAAGAAATCCCAAGCGTACTGCTTTCCAGGCTAAGGTTATTCCATGAAGCTTTCAGGCTAATAAGCTATGTTGAACTGACGCTTTCCCTTGGTTTGCAAGAAGTCTAAATACCTTTCTAACATGAAAACATTACATGAAAGCATTGCAATGACCTTTCACCAAGCTGGCTTCTCATCTGCCGGCCTACGAGAACTCTGCCTGAGCCGCAAATCAAGACGAGCTTGCCGGGTCAGGTCACTATCCAGGCTTTCAGTACTTTCAGTATCAGCGTGGGAAGGAGGCAAATGCCTCTCCATCTGTTCTCTATCTACTTCGTTAAAATTCTTTTCTCCTGAGAACCGCTGTGTTGATGTTGACTCTGCACTGTCTGACTCTGCACTGTTTGTGGGAGCCGCAGGCCTAGAGATCTGAGGCACAGAAAAAGAGCCAGGAATCTGAATCCCATCAGCCTCATCATCACAGAACATCTCAGCCACAACACCAATGGAGTTGATGGCGAAGGAGCATTGCTTCAATGCTGGTGGTCTTTACTTCTTCCAGCATGCTGCTATTTCTCTTCCTGTCTTCCCAAGAGATTTGCAGGATTTTCCAGAGGCAATGCTGATGGAATCGTTCCAGGAGTTGCATGTGACGTCTGTAGACAGTCCACGTTTTGCAGGCATAGAGCAGGGTTGGGAGGGGAATAGCTTTGTAAACAAGCACTGTGGTCTCCCTACAGATGTCCCGGTCCTGAAACACTCTCTGCTTCATTCGGGAAAAAAGCTGCACTCGCAGAGCTCAGGCGGTGTTGTATTTCGGTGTCAGTGTTGGCTTTTGTGGAGATGTGGCTGCCAAGGGAGTGGAAAGGGTCAACATCTTCTAATGTGACAACACTAAGCTGTATTCCTGGCCTTGCAGAGGGATTGGCTGATGACTGCTTGGACCCATGGCCAAGGCAAGGAGTCATCACACATCCGAATTTCCCCCAGGCCTCTGCTATATGTTATCCTAAGGGCTCGCAGTGAGGCAACTCCTTTGGGGAGTTGCTGTGAAGGAAGATTCATTTGTTGCCTCCTGTCTCTTGACGTCAGATCTTTGTGGTCGGCTAAGCCAAGCTTGGAATGTTCCGGCCCTTCCGTTGCATGTTATGACCCCCCCGGGGACTGACCTCATGCTCCCGTCTGAGCTCTTCCCATTGCTTTATGAATGGAAACAGCATGACCTAATGCACGGTTTTTGGAGCTCGGTCTGGACGGGCGGCTCTTGTCTTCACCAAGGCCTTGGAGGCCATCCAGTCCACGCCAGCCCTGGCTCGCCAGGAACCCAACAGATGTCAGCACAGAAGGCAGCGGGACCGGGAGCCAAAGGCAAAGCGAGCAGTGTGTGAAACTTCTGCTTCCCGTTGGACTCGCAAGACCCAGTCGGGGTGGGAGCTTCCCAACAGCCATCCTCGGCGGGGTCTCTCTGTTTCCGTGGAGAGGACAAAGACTCGTAAACAGAGCGGAGTTGTTTTCCTAGCGAGGAATGCAGCAATCCCAGCAGGAACTGTTTCTGAATGGGCAAATGACCCAGAACGAAGAAGAGAATGGGCCTTGGAGAGGAAGACAGTGGTAGGAAAGTGGACAGGGAAGGAAGCAGAAGGAGTGAACTACCAACGAGTGAAGAGAGGTGGCCAGGAAGACAGTCCCACCTTCTCTCCTGCACTGTGCTAATAATCTATATCAATAAAAATGTCATGTTCGTTTGTGGGATTCACAGAACTCAAAAACCACTGGACGAATTGACACCAAATTTGGACACAAGACACCTAACAACCCAATGTATGTCCTTCACTCCAAAAATTGATTTTGTCATTTGGGAGTTGTGGTTGCTGGGATTTATAGTTCACCTACAATCAAAGAGCATTCTGAACTCCACCAATTATGGCATTGAACCAAACTTGGCACACAGTTCTCCCATGACCAACAGAAAATACTGAAAGAAAGAATGGTTTTGGAGTTGTAGTTCACCTACATCCAAAGATGACTGTGGATTCAAACAATGATGGATCTGGACCAAACTCTGCAAGAATACTCAATATGCCCAAATGTGAACACTGGTGGAGTTTAGGGAAATAGAATCTTGACATTTGGGAGTTGTAGTTGCTGGGATTTGTAGTTCACTTACAGTCAAAAGGCATTCTGAACCCTACCAACGATAGAATTGGGCCAAACCTCCCACACAAAACACCCATGTGGGCCACAGCGACACATGGCAGGGAAAAGCTAGTATATTATATTTACATATTGCTTGTAAGCCGCTCTGAGTCCCCTTTGGGGTGAGAAGGTCAGCATATAAATGTCGTAAATAAATAAATACCTAGGACTTGTTCAGAGCCGGAATTTGCAGAACTGAGAGTTGAAGGCTTCCTGCAAAGCTCTTGTGTGTATTTTCCCACTGGCTGACTTTGCCTCCCTAGATGTGCCTCTTCTCTTTCTCTTCTTACCGTCGCCCGGCTTTTGTTTCTCTCGGATGCCTCAACTGTAATAAATCCCCTGAATTTTTGTGCAAAGGGAGGAGGGGAAGAACCACCCCGAGTGTCAGGCAGCCAAGCGATGGGGCTCTGGACCGTTGCCCACATAACATAACCATGGAGATGTGCACTTAGTTACGGTGGCTTAACCAGCATCCTCCCCGTCTCGCCTCCCTCCCCGTCCATCCGAACAAAGCTGCGATGGATTGGATGTTGACAGAAGGTGGCTTCGCATGTCCCACGGAAGTGCCAAAAACAGACGCCTTCGCGAGATACGTTTCCTCTTTTGGCACAGTCCGTGCGACACCTGAAGGGAGGAGGTTGCACGTCTTCCCTTTGGGGGTGGTGGTGGGGGGGGGGGAGAGTTTTCTGCCTTGTTAATAAACAAAGGCTCAAACTTCCCAAAGTCTCTCAAAAAGAGGAGACGTGAGAATCTGGGTGCGGTGGCTGCCTCATGACTGCAGCTGTCTGGCTCCTTCCCAGCTTCTTTGTACCTGGCAGGGAAGTGCTATGTCTCCAGTCCCAAGGCCCCAGGTTTGCATCTGCCAAAAACATGTGTCCACACACCTGGGGCTTTCTCAACGTGCCTCCCCTCCGGCTGCATCTGGAGTGTGACATGCAAGCCATCAAAGATCTTTGCAGCCCTCCTGGACAGCTGGAGTCCAGGAAACTGGCTCGGTTTCTAGGGTCAGCCTCTGATGGGCTTCTCATGGGAAGATCCTCTGGGTAAAGATGCCTTTGGACTGGACTTACGTAAACACTGAGGATTCGTCATCCTTGAGTTGTTGCTGATGCGTGCAGATGGAGCAAGGCTCACAAAGCTTCCTTTGCAGCGAGCGAGCAGCACCTCCACTCCTGCGAGTGAATTGTAGACAGGGAAAACTCAGCAACGCCTGGCAGGGGACATTTCTGCCAACGATGTACAAGTTTTCTGTCACGGAAGAAGCCGACACTCTATTTCCGCAACCAGCATCTCACAGTTCTCTCATCCTGGTGAAAAGAAGCAGGGGAGCGGAGGGATGAATTATTGTTGCCACCAATTTAAAAGGAACCAGTATTCAGGAGATTTTACCCCAGTTCCCAATTTTAAAAAGACTTAGCCGATTTGCAATGGAGGTTGCCGATTAGGAACCAAATTTACCATCAAGTTAGAAGGGAGGCTGTTCAATTGCACCTCCTCCTTTATTAAGAAAGTAATAACTTAGTAGTAATTACACTGTATATACTGTAGCATGACTGGAGAGAAGAATGTAGATTTATTTGGTTACTTTTCCCTACGTTTCTGCCACCCCGTGAGGTAAGTTTTAATATTGTGAGAAATGGCACTTGGTACCCAGAATAGATGGAGCGGAGCCAATCTTCAAATAAAAGTTAACAATTTTATTAAGTACACAGTGTGTGGTTGCAAGACGTAACTTTTCCTTGTTGCACTTGGAATAATACTTGTAACTTTAACAGTTCATTCTTTCTAGTAACACAGTATCTTTCTGATGTAGAGCACTTGTTTCAGACAAAGTTTCCATACAGGGATGTTTCCCTTAGTTGATCCTCCCTAGATCAAATACTAAGTAAACTATTATTTAGCCCTCTCCTTAGACTAAAAGAATACCAGCTATGTTTCACCATTCGGCTGCACTAGCCTGAGAAACTTCCAATAGCCAAACCCAGCTTTTCAAAGCCTCAAAGCTTTGCTTCAC